ACCCTATTTCTACAAAAAATAGAAAAATTAGCTAGACATGGTGGCACAACACCTATAGTCTCAGCTACTTGGGAGGCTGAGGCAGGAAGATTGTTTGAGCCTAGGAATTAGAGGCTTGCAATGAGCTGTGATCGTGCTACTCAACTCCAGCCTGGGGAACAGTGAGACCCCAACATTCCCCCCTAAAAAAGAGAGAGATACGAACCTTAAGATAAATAACTTTTCTAGATAGCAGTATTATTTTTCTATTTTGTTTAATTATTGATATTATGTTTCCTGCTCTTAAAAATTACTAAGAGCCGGGCTCGGTGGCTCAGCCTGTAATCCCGCGCCTTTGGGAGGCTGAGGTGAGTGGATTGCCTGAGCCCACGGGTTCGAGACCCGCCTGGGCAGCGAGACCTCATCTCTACAATAAATCAAAAAATCAGCCGGGCGTGGTAGCACATGCCTGTAGTTCTGGCTACTCGGAAGGCTGAGGTAGAAGGATCGCCAGAGCCCAGCAGGTCGAGGCTGCGGTGGCCGGGAGTGGCCAGTGCACTCCAGTCTGAGCGACAGAGTGAGACTCCAACTCAAAAAAAAAAAAAAAAAAATTACTAAGATATAATATTTTAGCTATAAGTTGAGTCAAATTATTAAATAAACTTTTGTTAACAAGACTGATAACCTGCCATTTATAATATTGTTTCATCGAGAATCCAAATTAATTTTAGACCACAGCTCATTTGTAATCTGGAATTGTTTCTCTATGTATGTCTGAGTGGGCATGCTTGTAATTGTGACTGTCTCCATACAGATATATACATAGATACCTTAAATCTATGTATATACTATGTGAATAGAAGCTTGAATACCCTTCTACTACGTCTTTTCATTAATTGTAGTAAAATATACATAACATAAAGTTTGCCATTTTAACCATTTTCAGTTGCATTAAGTACATTCACATTACTGTGCCACCACCACCATTGTTCATCTCCAGAACTTTTTTGCTGTTTCTTCTTAAGTGTCTATTTTAATGAGTCTATAATATACCTATCCTTTAAGTGCTTGTGTTGTCTAAAATTTGAAATGATGTTTTTGATTTTTCCTCTCTTTTTTAAGCCTACAGATGAATTTTCAGATCTGCCTCTTCGAGTAGCAGAGATTACTAAAGAACAAAGACTACGAAGAGAAAGCCAGTACCAGGAGAATCGCAGCAGTCTAGTGGTAACAAATGGTGGAGGTAAAGCATAATTTCAATGACATCTAAAGTCTTTGTAATCACTTAACTTTTTAAAGTAGGCTTTTTCACATCTACTTCTTTTATTTGTATATCTGTAACTTCTTCACTCTTTTAAAGACTTTATTTTGACTACTCAGGAGGCCGAGGCAAGAGGATCACTTGAGGCTAGGAATTCGAGACTAGCCTGGGCAACATAGTGAGACTCAAAAAAGACAGGAAGTGAGGGAGGGAGAAAGAAAGGAAGGGCCGACTTATTTTCATATATGATTTAAAAAAAAAAACATTTTTCATTGGAATGAAACTATAATTTCTCCGTGTTTTCAGGCTTTCAGTTAAAATACACTGTTTCTACCTTGTTTTTATTTTGGAAGAAACTTATTAGAGACAGTTCACCTGGAGTACATCTTTGTTCGTCTTGATTTAACTATGATCTTCTTTTGAAGTACCACTCACTCTTTTTAAGATTCTTCCTGGTCATTATTAGATATCTTTCAGGAATTCAGTGCTTTTCTTAGTGTTTACCTTTTCTTTCAACTGGAATTATGCTCTTTAAGAGCATGTGAATCTCAGTTTTCCTTATCCTGGAATTTTAAATTTTGTAATTTTCTTAATAGTTTGTTAACAAGCAGAGCTCTTTCTGCTTCCTTGTACTTATGAAATAAACTCTTGATTTTAGCATTTCATTCTATGTTGCTTTAGTTTGAACTACCAAATTTTAATGTTTCCGTTTTGAGTACTAGATATAAGAGAGAAATGACTTTGATTTTCTAGAAATTGATTATTTATCCAAGAAGAGCTTTCATCTCTCAATGATAATTCCAATTAAGTGGTTTGCTGTCCTTCTTTTCTTTACTATCTTACATTCTTCTTTATTCCTGTTACCATTTCATTCACATTTTAGTAGTCTTCTTTTAAATTTTGCTTTCATATGAGATATCTTTCTCCATCAGTTTATTTAAGATTTAAAATAATGTGTAGATTTGTGCTGTCCAGTGTGGTAGCCACTAGCCACATGTGGTTATTGAGCATTTGAAATGTGACTTTTCTGAATTGAGATATACTGTAAGTATAAAGTACACATTAGATTGTGAAGGCTTCATATGATAAAATAATATAAAGTATCGGTAATATTTTTGTATGGTTATATATTGAAATAATATTTAGATATATTGGATAAGATAAAATATATTAAAATTAACATCACTTTTTAAAACTTTTTCAAAAAATATGACTTCTGGAAAATTTTAAATTATGTATGTGGTTTGCATTTTTTTCTCTTGGACTGCACTGGCTTAGATAGTATGAAGAAGTGATGTTCCTTTCCTGGGAAATGGTTATAATATAAACCACTTATTTATCAGACAAGTTGTAGCATTTTTAAAAATGCGTTTATAGACTGGGCGCGGGCTCAGCCTGTAATAACAGCATTTTGGGAGGCCGAGACGAGAGGATTGCCTGAGTCCAGGGGTTCAAGATCAGCCTGGGCAACTTGGTGAGACTTTGTCTCTACAATAGATCACAAAAAAACTAGCCGGGTGAGGTGGCATGTGTCTGTAGTTCCAGCTACTGGGAAGACTGAGGCGGAAGGATCACCTAAGCCCAGCGGGTCAAAACTGCTGTGGCCATGAGCAGTCCACTGCACTCCAGCCTGGGCGACAAGAGTGAGATTCTAACTAAAAAAAAAAAAATGCATTTATGTACCTGGTTTTTAATGTGGAAGTAGACTTATAACCTTTTCATCCTTTTAGCTGTTATTAACTCTAATAACTAAAAATGTATTTTTTATATTAATTGCAGCTTATGGAATTATTTAGAAATGATTGAATCAAAAGACTAGATTGAGAAATAGACTTCTCCAAATTCACTTTTTCCAGCGGCTGCAACCTTTGGACAGTATATAGGACATCATAAAATAATGAGTTGGGGTTTAATGCATCTCTGAGAAACCATCTAGTAGGAAGTTTGTTTTTCTAGTGTGCCATTTTAAATAATTGTTAAAAATAATTACTTTTAAACTTAAAAATAATGGACATTCCCAAATTTACCAGGTGAAACAATGATGTGGCGATTTATATGCTTCTCTTTACCATTAAGCATTTTGAGAAGAAAAAATTCCTTGAATGATTTCATTCCATCCACAAACTGTTCCAAAATACCTGCAGTGCTGACCTCTCACAAACAATTTTTTTGAATAGGAGCATTTTTGTTCTGACCAGAGTTTTTAATGAACTTTTAACTGACAACACTTACAGGAATGGGAATAGTAGTCAGAAACTATTTATTTCTCTCCAAGTCCAGTTTACCCCTACCCTTTCTACTTTTTTTTTGCCTTTTACTTTCTTTTGGGTTGAGTAAGTTAGGTTTTCTGTCTACCATTTCCCCAAAGAGATATTATTAAACCCCAAGTCTAAAACATGAAGTCATAAAAGATGAACCTTTCGGTCTAAAAAATTAATCTTCCTCTCTCATTGTCTTACATACTCAAATTGCCATGTTGCAAACAGTTAGGAGCTGTCCAAAGAAAAAATGAAATGTTAGAGAACCTATATTTCAATTACTACATTCTTTTTTTTTTAATTGGAGTCTCACTCTGTTGCCCAGGCTGGAGTGCAGTGGCACACTCACATTGGACTCAGGCGATCCTTCTGCCTCAGCCTTCCAAGTAGTTGGAACTACAGCTGTGCTCCGTTACACACAGCTAATTTTTCTTGATTTATTGTAGATACAAGGTTTCACCAAGTTACCCATGCTGGTCTCGAACCCCTAGGCTTAGGCAGTCTTCTTGCCTCAGTCTCCCAAAGTTCTGGGATTGCAGACGTGAGCCACCACACCCAACAATTAATTGTATTTTTTAGTGAATTAGAACTAAGGTTTTCTGGAAACTATTTTGTGAGTAACCATGAACTAAATAATAAAGACTTATGTAATTTAAAGTTCCTATCATTTCTCCCGCTTTCAGAATAGAAAATGTTAGGGAATGGAGAGAATACAACTTAAGTAGCTGTCTTTTATTGACAGTCAAATTTGAATGTTGTTTCTTGTGCATGTTATGTGTAGTGGAACATGATCTGGATCAGATTGACTACATTGACAGCTGTACTGCAGAGGAAGAAGAGTACGAGGTTAGACAGCCCAAGAGCCTGGACTCAGACAGCCTCAGTTCACAGTTTATGGCTTATATTGAACAACGGCGAATCTCTCATGAGGTAACACACATTTTTAAGCTTAAATATGTTGCTCTCCTCTAGTAAAAGCAATTCATTTTATATCAGTGATTTGTCTTAGGCCTGAGAGTTTTATGTTTACTTTTGATTTCAGTTCTGAATTTTTCAGATTTATTCAGAAAATCTGAGACCATAGTCTCAAGTAGAGTTTAAGTTTTTCAAATAAGACCGATACCAGAATTTTGAAAAAGGAATAAAAGAATGCCTAAGAATAATGTAAGGCTTTGAAGAAAATGCAAAGGAATATGGCACTTTTTGTTGTTGTTTTTATTGTTTGTTTTTTTTACTGTTACCGATAAATCATAGTTTGGTCCGTAATTAACTAAGAATTAAATAAAAAGCTGACTTTTGCAATATGCAAACTTAACCGTAGAATTTTTATAATAAGCTGTAGAATTTTTATATCAGCTTAATTATATTGGTGTTTTTATCCTAAGTCACACAGAATATAAATTGTTTACTATTAAAATTCTTGGATGTCTCTTAAGTAGAGCATTGAGTTTCCTTAGAAAACAAGTGAGCATTCAGCCCACTGCAGGATCTCTGCCAATTCCCCAAGGGTCTCAAATAGAATAACATTCTTCAGTATATCTAGTCAACATAATAAAATGGGTCCACTTTAGTGTATGTGATGTTGATGTCTGCAGTTAGTCCCAGGCTCTAAGCAGGGGTTATTTGAGGAACACTTGGGTCTTTTTTGGATAATGATGTATTTAGCCTTTTAGAAATAGAGAATAATCACTTTAAGTGGGACATGTTATAGAGTGATATTACCATTCTTTTTTAAAAAAAAAAAGCCTTTGGATTTCCTATCTTTAAGCTTTTAAACACAGTATTTTTTGTTGGTTTTCAGAAGACACTCATGTATTGAAAGTTGGATGAAATTTAGTTATATAAATCAAAGTCCTGCAGCTCAGAGATAGCAATATATCAGGTGATTAAAAACTACTTGTGATTCAAGCTATGAGCCTCCTTGCTGGAGCAAAGGACAATTATTTTGCAATAAAATTAAAATGAACAATGGCACAGTATGATCCTTAAAGGAATCCTTTTTCTTGTGATCTTTCTCTTTGATTATTTTATGGTTAATTAGACTGCATAGATGGGGTATCTCTAGTAAAAGTGAAAATGCCTGTTATACTACTGTGAAAAATGATAGTGTTATTTCTTTAATCCATTATATTGGTTATTTTATAATAAATTCCATCCATCTATTATGTATGGTGGTCATTATGATTCTGTGTCATAAGACTCTTTATGACTCCTGTGTCATAAGGTTTCTAAAATTTGGCATCTATGAAAATACGATAAAGCAGCATTATTTTAGATGGTTTAACAACCAGTGAAGAAATATGTTTGTTTTTCTTAGCACTATCTAAAAATAGGTAGTTAAAAACAAGTCTATATGAGATTTTAAACACTCTGCCATTGTTTATTTTATTATAATACCTCTCACATATGAAGATCACCCCTGCCTAAATAGGGTGTAGCATATATTTATTCTTTAAATTAAACCAGTGTCATATTCATTTCGTCATGAAGATTTCATGTACCTCTTGAAAAATTTTAGATAATCGCGGCATCCTAAAACCAGGGTGATAAATCACAGCATTCTAGGGGAGAGTTTTTTTTTTTTGTTGTTGTTGTTTTGAATCAGAGTCTCACTCTGTCACCCAGGCCACAGTGCATTGATCTGCTGGGCTCAGGCGATCCTTCCACCTCAGCCTCCCAAGTAGCTGGAACCACAGACATGCCACACTACACCCAGCTAATTTTTTTTTTTTAAATTTATTGTAGAGATGCCATCTCACCAAGTTACTCAATCTGGTCTTGAACCCCTGGGCTCAGACAGTCCTCTCACCTTGTCCTCCCAAAGTGCTGGGATTATAGGCATGAGCCACCACACTCGACTGAGAATTTTTTTAATTTAAAAAAAAAAGCATAGTCAGAAAAATTATTTTCTCATCAAGCTCCAGAATAGTAGCTTATTCTATATAATCCTCACGTCCAGACTTAAAGATAGTCAATTTTTAGCCCTTTGGAGTAATTCACCAAAAAGGATTTTCTAGTTATGTGAGTTGTACCTATTTCTTGAAGGTAGTCTATAAGTAGTTTTATATTTGATCTTTAGATATCCTTTTTGGAAAAAGTTTTTATTTTTCCTCTGACAGATACCAATTTTGGTGATTATTTGTGGTGTGGAAATAAGATTGTATTACTTGTATAGATTCACATTTGGCAAAATATATTGTGATAACTTTTAAGCCTCTGCTTTGATTTGTAACTGTCAGTGTGTTGGTTCCTGTCACTTAACCCAGTTTAATTTTTCCTCACTTTTGAAAATGACCTTTTATCCTTTAGTTTGTAAATAAGTTAAAAATTGCCAATGATATAGTTCTTTTTTACATACTATATTTTACCATAAGTAGAAGTTATTTTTTGTTTTATCTTGATATTTCACTAACATTTCCAGAACTATTAGTGTGACAAAGAGATAATTTGTGGTGATGAATAAGTAAAGAAACATAACTTGCTCAGTGAATTCCCCAATATAGAAATATTCAAGAGAAACTGAGCAAATGTCTGGGTAGGATGGGTAGGAATTTCTGTCCTAGATGAGGTTGCCCTAGATGACCTCTGAGATCCTTTCCAACTCTGACCTCTACCATTTAGTAAATATTACTATGTTTGGTCACTATAATTTACATAATACGTGAGAAGGAAATCTACTTTTTAAAAATATAAATGTGAATTATAAATATGTCCGTTTATCTGAGCAGCAATATAGCCTGTAGTGCTTTTAAACGTAAAACTTGCACTGGAAAAGTCTGTGAAAACATTTGTTGGTGTAACGTCCAAGTCCTTAAGTGACAAATTGAATGTGAGCTGTGTAATCATAGAGTTCTGCATTCATATGTTAAACTGATTTATTTCTGCCCTTTTGGCCTAGGGTTCACCAGTAAAACCAATAGCCATTAGGGAGTTTCAGAAAACAGAAGATATGAGAAGATATTCACATCAAAACAGGTTTGAAAAACCAATTTATTTATTTGTTTCTCTTAGCTCAGTGATAAGAGCATAAAATGATATTGGTTTTGTACAGGTCTGTGTGTAATGAAGATATTTAGATACTATGTGTTTTAGATAGCATATAATTTGGAACTAAGCAACGATGTGCTTTTGTTCTCATGTCATAAAAAGGAGGTAAAAAATAATTTATTGATTCCAAATTCAGATCACCTAAACCATTACCTGTATAGTTAATTGATTTGAAGGTACTTGCTAGCAATGAGATTATGTGGTGATAATATGTAGATTCATGCATAAAGAGCACTGAAAGAATTTCAAGTGTGCTACATTTTTTTTAACTTAAAATTTTTACAGTAACAGAGAAACAGAGAGTGGTATGTATTCTTGTTCCTATCTCAATTAGTGTCATCCTTCCACTACACTAGTGCCTCTCAGAATATTTCTAAAATTAGCTTGATATTTAGAACTCTGCTTCTCATTCTTCAATTCCAAAAGGTTTCTTGCCATAAACTGTATCACAGTAGTTGAAAAATGTTCAGCATTTGGTTCTTTGCCTCCTTTTTGTTTTTATGAAGTCATAAAGTAGTAGACTTGACAATATTCCTGTTCTTAAATGACAATAAATTTACTGTGTAGAAACTACTGAACATGACTTTTTACTTATACCTGACAGGTATTAAAGTTATAATGGGGACTGAGATATAGATGGAATAAAGGAAATGTAGGGCGGGTAAAGAAAGAAAGAAATCTCGTAACTTTGCCTATTTAGTTCACGCAGATTTAGTTAAATTTTATATGCTTTGAAATTTATTTTGGGATATCTTTGTGGTTGCCGTGTGTCCTTATACGTGGGGCATGGTCTTTTGAGATTCTGATTTTATGCAAGAGTTTCCAGTTTCATTTCCCAACCTTGGGTTGACCTAGGTTTTCTATCTTGCTGCTCTCACATCCTGCATCCATCATGGTGAAACTCAGAATCTCGAGTATTTAGTAAAAACTCTCAAGGTAAAAGCTAGCTTTTTGGTTCAGTTACCTTATGTATTAATTTCTTTCTTTTTTTTTTAGAAAGCAGGATTTATTGAGGACAGAAAAGATCCCACAACAGGAAAGGACCCATTGTCCCATGTATTAATTTCTTATTGCTTGTGTTATAAACTTAGCAGCTTAGAACAACACTCATTTTTTTTTTTTTTTGAGTTGGAGTCTCACTCTGTTGCCCAGACTGGAGTGCAGTGGCCGCTCCCGGCCACCACAGCCTCGACCCGCTGGGCTCCGGTGATCC